CATCTCCCGGCCGAGCCGCCCCAGCAGCAGAGCCGCCCCAGCAGCCGAACCCCCCGGGAGCCGAGCCGCTCAACGCCGAGCCGCCCGGGACACGAGCCGCCCTGCTGCCGAGCCGCCCGGGAGCCGAGCCGCCCTGCACCCGAGCCGCCCTGCCGCCGAGCCGCCCGGGAGCCGAGCCGCCCTGCGCCCGAGCCGCCCAGCCGCCGAGCCGCCCGGGAGCCGAGCCGCTGTGCACTCGAGCCGCCCGGTCGTTGAGCCGCCTTTCTGCATAGCTGCACGACCTGCCCTGCCTGGTGAGCACAGTCCCACTGACACTGCGAGCTCTTTCCCTACTGCTTGCACTGCGTCACTGTCGTCGCCATGGCTACCCCTAGTGTCCTAGCTTTTGACGCTGAGGGTCGCGCCATTGATTTTGAGGTCTGGTTAGACGACCTGCAGCTGTTCTTACAGTGCGACAGGGCTGACGACCTTTCTCTCTTTGACCTCACCTCTGGCGCCTCTCCTGCTCCTGCTGCTGATGCTGATCCCACTGTCCGCTCTAAGTGGGCCACCCGCGATGCTGCTGCACGTCTTGCTGTGCGTCGCCACCTCCCTACCTCTGAGCGTGCGCACTTTAGTCAGTACAAGAGTGCTCAGACCTTGTACGACGCTGTAGTTGCGCGCTACTCCTCCCCTGCCACTGCTGCACTGAGCCGTCTCATGCTTCCCTACCTCTTTCCTGACCTCTCTGCCTTTCCCACTGTTGCTGACCTCATTACGCACCTCCGCACTAGTGACACTCGCTACCGCGCCGCCCTTCCTGCTGAGTTCTGCGCTAAGAACCCCCCCCCCCATGTACATCGCTCTCTACTACGTAGTCGCGCGCCTCCCTGACTCCCTTCGCGTCGTCAGGGACCACTTTCTCGCAGTCTGTCCCACCACCCTCACCGTCGACCTCCTCGAGAAGGCCCTCCTCGCAGCGGAGAAGAGCATAGTCGCTGTAGGTGCTTCTCGTGGTGACCCTCGCACCCCCATCTTTGAGGGGTGCTCTCCTTCCCCCTTGCTGCCCTCTGTTGCCTCTGCTACTGCTGCCGACCTGCTTGGTCTTGAGTCGGTCGGCGCGGCGTCTGCCCCTAGTGGGAGACGTCGCTCCAGCAAGGGCAAGGGGGGCAAGGGCGCGGGTGGAGCTGGAGGGGGCGGTGGCGGTGGCGGCGGTGGCGGCGGAGGGAGTGGGGGTGGCGGCGGGACTAGTGGCGGGGGTGGTGGTGGTGGTGGCAGCAGCGGCGGAGACGGTGGTGGTGGTGCCAGCGGTGGTGGTGGAGGCAGCGGCGGAGGTGGAGGCGGCGGAGGTGGAGGCGGTGGAGGCGGCAGCGGAGGAGGCGGTGGTGGTGGAGGAGGTGGAGCTGGTCGAGGTGGTGCCCAGCAGCGTAGCGGCGGTGGTGGTGGCCAGCGCTCGCAGCGGCAGCAGCAGCAGCGCTCGCGGGACATCCCTCCGCCTCAGCAGCTTCGTGAGTGGTACGCTGGGCGTCAGAGGGGTGGGGGTACTGGTCCCAGCACCTACGTTCTTCGTTCCGGCGACCGCGCGGGTGAGCAGTGTGGGGGTGCCCACGCCACCCAGCGCTGCTTTGGCCGCCTGACGGACGCTTGGCGTCAGCAGTTCCCTGGGGCTAGTGAGATCCCTCGCTGGGATGAGCTTCTAAGGGCTGGTGTAGCGATCTTTGATCTTGATTTTGATGTTATCCTTGCTGCTATGTATGTTGTGGATTATAGTGAGGAGAATGAGGGTTACCGTTGTTTCCAGCCCGACCCGGGCATTGGTACTGCTGCGCTAGGTGCTTGTGAGGCTGCTGCTCTAGGTGCCAGTACGTCTGTGCTCTCAGGTACTGGTGAGACTGCGCTCTCAGGTACTGCGTCGTCCTCGTCCTCCCTCACTTTCACACTTGACTCCGGAGCTTCTCGCTCCTTCTTTCGAGACCGCACTACCCTTACGCCGCTCGGCCGGCCGGTTGCGGTCTCCCTTGCTGACCCCTCTGGGGGTCCTGTCCTGTCTCACTTCTCCACTATCCTCCTGTGTCCGGCTGCCCCTTCGGGCACCCTGTCGGGTCTGTACCTTCCCTCGTTCTCTACGAACTTGGTGAGTGGAGCGGACCTGCAGGATGTGGGGGTTCACCAGTTCACTCCTGCGAGTCAGCGGGTGACCCACTGCACGGAGGCACGCACAGGCCGACACCTGGCCACGTTCTCGCGTCGGCCGGGGTCGAGTCTCTACACCCTGACCGTTGAGTCTCCTCCTGTCCCTGCGTCTGGTCAGGTGGCTGCGTCGGGTCAGGTGCTTGCTGCTGCGTCCCGGTCAGGTCCTGAGTCTGCCCCCTGTTCTTGTCGCCTCCTGTCTCACGAGACTCTCCTGTGGCACCACCGTCTTGGCCACCCGTCCTTGCCCCGTCTTCGGAGCATGGCTTCCCGTGTCCTTGTCTCTAGTCTTCCCCAGTCTCTCCCTCCTCTCCCCTCCGGGCCAGGACCTTCCTGTGTCCCCTGTGTCGAGGGTCGCCTCCGGGCTACTCCTCACTCCTCCCACTTCCCCCCGACAGAGGCTCCCCTGCAGACGCTTCACATGGATGTGTGGGGCCCAGCCCCCGTCCGTGGGCAGGGTTACGAGCGCTACTTCCTGTTGGTGGTTGACGACTACTCGCGTTACACCACAGTCCTCCCCTTGCGCAGCAAGGGTGCGGTCACTGAGGTGCTGATCGACTGGATCCGCGAGGCTCGTCTCCAGCTCAGGAAGAGCTTCGGCTGGGACTTTCCTGTTCTGCGTCTGCACTCGGACAGAGGCGGAGAGTTCTCTTCTCGCCTTCTGCGGGACTACTGTCGTGCACGGGGGATCCGCCAGACCTTCACGCTTCCGGACTCTCCGCAGCAAAATGGGATTGCTGAGCGCCGCATGGTCGTGGACTTTACTTGTACTGTGACATATATATATCTACCTGCTCTTGCTTGTCTAGTTTTATATATATATGTCTGTACTCCTGCATGTGAACTGGCCTCTGGCCCTGCTCTTGTGCTTGGACTGTGTGGTGACTTTGTGATCCACCCTGAGCTTGCTTTGCTTTGCTTGACTGGTCTTGTGACCCCTTGTTCTCCCCCACTTTGCCTATGGGGGTGTGTCAAACATTATATATGTTATGCTTGTGTAGGCTACAGTGGGTTAGCCTATAGGGGGTACACAATTCTAGGGTTTCCTACTTGTACTCATTTCACTGCTAGTTCATCCATTCCTGTTCACTTCTTTCACACCACAGCGATGTCACTTGCGTCAGTGACGAGCTCGAACGGACGGTGTGGATCTGCAATGTGAAGCACGGGCGGTGAGCACAAAATGTCTTTGAGGGCCGAGAAGGCAGCTTGCTCTTTCTCCCCCCACGTGTACTCAACCCCCTTCCTCAGCAGGTCGGTCAACGGGGCAGTCAGCTTCGCCATGTCAGGGACGAACCGGCGCACGTAGTTGACGAACCCCAGGAAGCTCTGCAACTCGGTCAAGTTGGTCGGCGCGTGCCAAGCCTGAATCGTCGCAATTTTCTTCGGGTCTATTTCCACTCCTGCAGCTGAAATAACATGTCCCCAAAGCTCCAGGCGGTCCTGTAAAAACTCACACTTAGACGCTTTTGTGAGTACGCGGTTCTCACTCAGTATTTTAAAAATTGCTTCGATGTCCTGTAAGTGCTGTGCTCTGCCAGGGCTGTAGATTAGTATGTCGTCCATGTATACGATGACGCACTTATCTAAGAGCGAGCGGAAAGCTTCGTTCATGGTCATTTGAAAAGTGACGGGGGCGTTGGTCAGTCCGAAGGGCATGACGGTGTATTCGAAGGATCCATAGCGTGTGCGAAATGCGGTCTTAGGGCAGTCGGGTGGATTGATGCGAATCTGGTGGTAACCCCCGCGGAGATCGATTTTCGAGAAAACCCGGGCTGTGCGCAGTTGGTCGATCAGTTCATCGGCTCGCGGATGGGGTAACGGGATTTGATGGTAACCCTGTTCAGTGCTCTGTAATCTATGCACATGCGAAATCCCCCGTCCTGGCTGCATTCGTCGCGTCGGGGTGTGTAGTGCCGTGGTCGTCGTCTCCGTCATGGCGGACGACACCATCACTTGCGGCGCTCGCGGGTTGCCCCACACTTCCGTGCTGTGATGTTTGTGGTGCGGGCTGAATCGGAGTGCCAGGTGCTTGGGATTGTGCTCGTGTGAGGTCGCTTTGCAGGGACGAACGTTCTGCCGTCAGCGTCGCGATTTCCTCGGCGCTCTCGCGGATTTGTCGCAGCAGATCGTTCAAGTGCTCCTGCGTGAGAGTCGTGATGTCGATGTGTTCAGCCATTTCGAAGGGCGTCGGCTCGTCTTAGTCTAGGCGCAGTCGTGGCTGCACGCGTTTACGAGAGAACGCGAGGACAGCGGCTCCTAGGTGCTAAGGTACGTGAGTCCCTTCGAGTGAAAAAACAAAAGTTGATTTCCTGGGGTGCGGAGATGCGCGGTCCGAAAGAAAGGGGCTCTGAATACCAAGTGTTACGGGTGCAATGAATCGAAGTAGCGAGAATTGCACTAAGGTGTCAAACGAGTACAAAGATGTGAGCGAAGGCATGAGCGAACATTTATACGCGAAACATGCAAACGGTAACGCGGTGCGTGCGAGCTAGCTAGTGCTGTGCTGGCAGCGAGGCTCGGGCTAGTCCCGAAGCGTAGGCCGACATGGCCGGGCCAGCAGTGCGAGGTTTGGCAAAACAGTGCGCGCGAAGTTGGCGAAGTCCCGTTAGCAGTAACGGGCGAACAACGGCTGTTGCTGTACGCGATGTAGTCGGGCTCCGTAAGGAATGCCGAGAAAATTCCTTACAACGCTGTAGTTGTGACATAAACGTTTACATAGGAATATCTATACTTACAAATAGCACCCTGGTCACAAGATTGTAAACAAACTCTTGACATTAACAACAAACACTACATACAGCGTGGGAATACAAACACCACCGCTAGAACTACAGTCGCCGTAGGCTCTTCTTCCTCAAGTCAGCCTTCTTCTCTCCCCCACCCCGGCCTGTGTTCTCCCCCTTCCCTTTAGCCTTCACCACGCCACTACCCGTGCTCGATGCTGCCACAGGCTCCCCCATAGCTGCTGCTGCCGCTGACCCGTTTCCCGTTTCCTTTGCCTGCCGCCTAGAGTCAGCATTTGCAAGCGACCGATTGGTGGCCAGGGGCGTGTGATGGGCTGACGAAACACTGGCACTGCCAGCCAGGTTTTTGCCAGTAGTAGGATCAACAACAGAAGTGCTGGGAGGCGGGGCAGGTGGAGTGGTGCTGCTGGAATCTCGAGAACTCACTGCGGTGTCAGTGCCAGTGGCAGCAGCACCGGGAGCACAGGGGGTGGGAGTGGCAGGGGGTGCAGATGCAGCAGCTGGAGAAGAAGCAGCGCGGCCAGAGTCCGAAAGCAGGTCAGCTGCTGTTGCTGACTGTGTGCATGCTCTCTGCTGGTTCTTGCTGGGGGACTGATTATTTGCCTCCTGCCTTCCCGGCTCATGCTGCTGCTGCTGCTGTTGCGGTTGCGACTGCTGAGCTTGCTGCTTGGCTTTCCCGGCAGAGGTCAGGGCGGAGGAAGAGGCAGGGGCGGCATGGATGGATGTGAAGAGGCGAGCATGGCGTGCATACGCGTTATAATCCTCCAGAAGCAGCTTCCCTGCGTCCTCGTTAAGAGCAGACTCGGGGTAAGGTTCAATCAGAAGGCAGCGCACCACCTGCATTGGCACACACGGACCAGCTGTTGAAAGTTGAGGATTGGCAGGAAAGCAGCACGCAGGCACAAGAATTCCTAGAAGACACAACTAGCTAAAAATGCACAATTGCACCACCGCCACCAAATCAGGTGCTATCACTGCAGCCCACCGCTCTCAACACGGAGGGCCCACTACCAGGCACGACTGTGCAGCGGAGCCCGTCGCAACCCAACAGCAACACACACAAACTCAAATAAAACAGCGCACCAGCAAGACGTGTTTGAGTCCGAGGGTGGCCTTCCAGTCCTTTTTTAGCACGCTCACGCAGATCTCGCCGCTCTTGGCCACGTTGGGGTGGAAAATGCGCGTCAGGAAGAAGCCTGGCGGGGAGGTTGAGGGATGGTTGTGGGTGGGTGGCGATTGGAGGAAACGAAGAAGATAGAGAGCGGACGCATAACCTTTGCTGCAGCTTCATGCGGAACAAAGAACGAGGGCTGGTTCTAGAGGGGAAGAGATCGCGATCGAAGGAGATGGACAGCGGGTACAAAGGGCACGCATTACCTTTGGGCGCGGCGTCGGGGAAGTCCCGCCCCAGCAGCAGCTTCATGTGGAACAAGAGGGAGGGTTGGTTCTAGAGGAGGGAAAGGATTGAAGGAGATAGGCAGCGGGAAAGAGGGAACGAAGGGAACGAAGGGCGGACGCATTACCTTTTGGGGCGGCGTTGGGGAAGTCCCGCCCCAGCAGCAGCTTCATGCGGAACACTCCGCCCTCGTATGGCGTGCCCTCTGCGCATGCCGCCATGGCACGGTGCGGCGCGACGGATATGATATGATGGTAGGAAACGGGACAGCAGAGGGGTAATGGAGAGGAAAGGCGGAAAGACGAAACGCATAACCAAGTGAGACATGCCAGTGGAGTACAGGAACTCGATGAAGGCTGTTGATGACTCTTAACCCACTCGTAACCCGCGTGGGCTCACCAGGGCCGTCGATCTCGGCATGGACGGTTGCGATGCTATCGTCGTGGACGGTCACCCGGATGCCGTCGAGCGCGCTTTGTTGCAGCGCCTTCAGCTCCCGCGCCACCTCGCGCGCCACGCGCGGGGGGAGGGGCGCGCCAGTGGCGCTCGCCTGGTGAGGGGAACGAGGGGAGGGGGAGGGAGAGAGGGCGAGGGCAGGACGCGGGTTCATGGAGTGGGAGGGAAGGGTGGTTTGGCGGGTAGTGGATGCAGAGCAGCAAAAGCAAACGCAGATGTCGTACCACATCGGAATAAGCGGAAGAGACGGTCCGTGCCTCACAGGGCGATACGCGACGCGACGAGCGTTCCACTCACCATCCGTATGCGAGAGTCGTCTCGAGACGATGTTGCTCGATCTCAGGATGTTCGGGTGATGTTCGGAACAAGTTTCGGTTAGCGGTCCGCCTATCTCATCCTAGTGCGCTAGGCCAGTAACTGTGCTACACGGAGTAAGCGCGCCGACTCTTAAGGAGGATGTCACGAGGCTGCTGATATCGCGTGTGGTGTGCCTTGTTGCGTTCCTACTGTTCCGCGTCTGAGCTGTATCACATTGCGAGATGTACGATAGCGCAGGAGGCGGCCAACGCTTTCTGAGCAACTTAGCTGTTTCGCAGACTATGAAATTGCGTGTTGGAGCAAGAGAGGAGTGGTGGTGGTGATGACACACTAGGCGCAACCAAGGGGCAACAAGGCACTAGGGACGTTTATTGTCGCGATGAGGCGAGTTGGGTGGGGTCAAGAGAGGTGAGAGGCGGGAAAGAAGCCAGGGTGCAGGGGAGCGTGCTAGCTGATTAACTCGAGGCGCGCCCAGGGTGGTCCGAACCGAAGCGTCGTCGTCACGCCGCAACAACCTTTCCCATGCCACATAAACGGAAGCTGGGGGAAGCACTGAGCCTGTGGGGAAGTCAGGGGGGGAGGAGCGGTGAAGCTTGCGCTTCTCATGATTGAGTGAAGATGGAGGGCGGAGGAAATAGGGGCGCGAATTTGAAGTTGGCGGACTCATTTTTGCTGGTGGTTGCGGGTTACGGGGGATTGGCTCGGTGATATCGAGGCGCAGATTGCGCGACTCGATTAGGACGGCTCGCGTTCTCCAACCAGTGCCTGCGATTGCATCACAGTTCTTAGCCGGAAACAGGTGTTTGAATGAGGAAAATGTGACTGCACGAGAATATGAATCCAGCACTACTTAACTCTCCAATCGAAGACTGCAGTATCAAGCACAGAATCATGAATATGGAGGAATTGAAACTTTGCTAGTGTAAGGAAAATTCCTTTACCTTACTTCGCATCCCTCCTCAACGCGTACATCACTGTAGCACCACAGTCAGCACCATAACCACTCGCAACCCTCGCATCGATAGTCCGCCCGCCACCTTCGGACATCGCACCCTGACCTCACGGCTCGGCGGGTAACCCGCGCTCCGGGCCTCCGCTTCGACACTTTTTCCCAACCTCAGTCCCAGGCCCGTCGCGCGACAACCACAGTCCATTACCGTTACCACTGTAGTTTCCCTATATATTCTTCGCTCATGCCTTCGCTCATGCCTTCGTGTCAGAACATCATAGCTTATACATTTGTGTAGGCTGTAGTGGGGTAGCCCATAAGAGGTACAACCCAATTAGGGTTAGTACTTGTACCCAACTGTTTCATAATTCATTCATTCCATTCTCACTTCTCGTCATGGTATCAGAGCAGGTTCCCGAGTGGGAATACTGCCTAGGGCCCACCACGAACTTTTCTTTCCTTCCCTGCCCGGAGCGCGCCTAGCTCCTAACCCGAGTAGCGCCTCGAGCCGCCTTAGTGGCCCCTTTTGGCCGCCCTTACTGCCCCTCGAGCCGCCCTCTACGGCCTCGCTTAGGCCCCGCTACGGCCCCGCTTAGGCCCCGTCGGCCCTGCTACGGCCCCACTTAGGCCCCGCTACGGCCCCGCTACGGCCTCGCAACGGCCCCGTAGGCCCCGCTTAGGCCCCGCTGCGGCCCCGCTACGGCCCCGCTACGGCCCCGTCGGCCCCGCTTAGGCCCCGCTACGGCCCCGCTGCGGCCCCGCTACGGCCCCGCTTAGGCCCCGTCGGCCCCGCTACGGCCCCGCTACGGCCCCGTCGGCCCCGCTTAGGCCCCGCTACGGCCCCGCTACGGCCCCGCTACGGCCCCGTCGGCCCCGTCGGCCCCGCTTAGGCCCCACTACGGCCCCGCTACGGCCCCGTCGGCCCCGTCGGCCCCGCTACGGCCCCGCTACGGCCCCGTCGGCCCCGCTACGGCCCCGCTTAGGCTCCGCTGCGGCCCCGCTACGGCCCCACTTCGGCCCCATCGGCCCCTCTACGGCCCCACTTAGGCCCCACTTCGGCCCCGTCGCCACCGCGGCCCGCCCACCCTTGCGGCCCGCCGCCACCTGCGACCTCGCCACCACCTGCGACCCCGCCTCCCAGCGCCCGCAACGCCGACCAGCCGAACCGCCGGCCACCTAAGCCGCCCGACCTCCCGAGCCGCCCAGCAGCCGAGCCGCCCGACAGCCGAGCCGCCCAGCACCGTGCAGCCGAGCCACCCAGCAGCCGAGCCGCCCAGCAGCCGAGCCGCCCGACAGTCCAGCCGCCCCGCACCAGCAGCCGAGCCGCCCAGCAGGCGAGCCGCCCAGCAGGCGAGCCGCCCTGCAGCCGAGTCGCCCGAGAGCCGAGCCGCCGAGCAGCCCGATCGCTCCACCTACCTGGTAAGAGCACAGTCTCTGCCACTGCACTGCCCTGCCTCCTGCTGTTATGGCTTCCCCTAGCGTTCAGGGTTTAGGGTTTAGCACGGACGTCCTTGAGGACAGGCAGGAGGAGTTCCAGTGCTTTGCAGCTGCTTTGCCCCATCTTGTGTCCACGCTGATTGCCCCTGAGGGAGACCCGGATGCACCAGACATCCCGACTCCTCGATCGTACGCTGAGGCGATCGAGGGTCCCTACTCCTCTCAGTGGCAGTCGGCCATGGATGCAGAGATGGCTTCCTGGAAGTCCACAGGCACCTACGTCGACGAGGTTCCCTTACCTGGGGCGAACATCGTCAGTGGGATGTGGATCTTCAGGGTGAAGCGGCCGCCGCGCTCTCCGCCTGTCTTCAAGGCGCGTTACGTGGCTCGAGGCTTCAGTCAGCAGCAGGGAGTTGACTACTTTCATACCTTCTCTCCCACCCCGAAGATGACCACTCTTCGGGTGCTGCTGCACATAGCCGCTCAGCGCGACTACGAGCTTCACTCTCTTGACTTCAGCACTGCTTTCCTGCAGGGCAGCCTGCACGAGGAGATCTGGCTGCGCCGCCCTCCTGGCTGCACTGGGTCGTTTCCTCCTGGCACCCAGTGGAGCCTCTGGCGGCCAGTCTACGGTCTCGGCCAGGCGCCCCGTGAGTGGCACGACACACTGAGGACTACACTTGCGGCTCTTGGGTTTGCTCCTTCTACAGCCGACCCGTCGCTGTTTCTACGCACCGACACTTCTTTGCCGCCGTTCTACATCCTCGTGTACGTCGACGACCTGGTCTTTGCCACTGCTGAACTCGCCCACGTGAAGTCCGAGCTGCAGAAGAGACACACGTGCACAGACCTGGGTGAACTGCGCAGCTACCTTGGCTTGCAGATCACCCGGGACAGAGCACGCCGCACCATTACCCTGACTCAATCACACATGGTGCAGCAGGTCCTTCAGCGCTTCGGCTTCACGTACTCCTCGCCTCAGGCCACTCCTCTATCTACTCGCCACTCGCTCTCAGCTCTGCCTTCGGATGAGCCCGTAGAGTCGAGTGGCCCGTCCCCAGAGCTTGTTGGCTGCCTCATGTACCTGCTGACCTGCACACGACCTGACCTTGCATACCCTCTTAGCATCTTGGCACGCTATGTTGCTCCTGGGAGACACCGACCAGAGCACATGGCTGTAGCGAAGAGGGTGTTGCGCTACGTGTGCAGTACGTCGGGCATGGGGCTAGTGCTTGGAGGGCGACGTCGAGTAGTCCTCACAGGTCACGCTGACGCTTCTTGGGCTGACGACCAGGCTACGCAGCGGTCGTCACAGGTTTACACCTTCAGCCTTGGCTCCGGCTCTATTTCGTGGCGGTCTACCCGCTCGTCCTCTGTTCTCGGCTCCAGCTGTGAGGCTGAGATCTACGCAGGGGCCATGGCTACACAGGAGCTACGCTGGCTCACCTACCTGCTGACTGACCTAGGAGAGCCGCCTCGTTCTTCTCCAGTTCTGTACGTAGACAACAAGGCCATGTTGGCCTTGTGTCGGGAGCACAGACTGGAGCACAGAACGAAGCACATTGCTCTCCGCTACTTCCTGTCTCGTGAGCTACAGCAGCGTGGTCAGCTCCGCCTCACCTACGTGGCCTCTGAGGCCAACACTGCTGATATCTTCACCAAGGCCCTTCCGCCTTGTGATCATCAGCGCTTCTGTACTGTGCTAGGTCTTGTGCCTACCTGGCCTCACTTGCTCACTTCTTGATCTTGTTTGTAGTGTCTTCTTTCTATACCTGCCCTTGCGTGTTTTACCTTTATATATATGACCTTGCATGTGATCTGGCCTTGTGGCCTTACTCTTTTGCTTGGACTGTGTGGTGACTTTGTGATCCACCCTGAGCTTGCTTTGCTTTGCTTTGCTTTGCTTGACTAGTCTTGTGACCACTTGTTTTCCCCCACTTTGCCTATGGGGGTGTGTCAGAACATCATAGCTTATACATTTGTGTAGGGTGTAGTGGGGTAGCCCATAAGGGGTACAACCCAATTAGGGTTAGTACTTGTACCCAACTGTTTCATAGTTCATTCATTCCATTCTCACTTCTCGTCACTTCGCTCATTGTACTCTTCCTTCGATAGTGCAATTCTCGTTCGTTCACTCAATTGCACTCGTAACACCTGGTATTCAGAGCCTACGATCTCCTCTCGGACCGCACCCACACCTTCGCTTCCCCACCATCTCAATTTTTGGGGGGATAGACGTCTCTCAACGACACAGCACCGCCGCTCGTAGTGCTCTCTCGTAAGCACGCACGACCACGACCGAGGCTCTCGCTGAGCTCGTCCAACACCCCGCCATGGCCGAATTCACGCTCGCCACATTGACGCAGGAGCAGCTCGACCGTTTGGTTCGCCAACTTGAAGATTCAGCGCTCGAAATTGCGACGCTCACGGCGGAATGTGACTTCGCGCGTCAGCAATCAACGATGAACACTCCAGCGCCACCACACGCACTGACAAATGCATCTGCAGAATCAGACGAGCCGATC